TGCTGCCAAGAAATGCAGCGTAGGCCCAAAATAAGAATCAGAACCGTCAGCCCAACCACCATAAATCAAAAAGTAAATAAATTAGAAAGAGCCACCAATTTTAACCAAAAAATTCTTATTACATTTGCGACCATGCGAATATTCTATATTCTACGATCTACGATAATTTGTTTTTGTTTTACAATGAATTGTTGGTATGCCTGTTGAGAGAGCTTGGCGGCAAGTAGTGCGCTGTTCGAGTCCTATAGAGCGAACTATTAATTTTTTTGTAGCCCATTAAAAATGGGTATAAGGGTATATTGTATTTGCCAAAATGTATGTAACAGGCAGGAGGAACCATCTCCGACCCCATAAAGTATATATATTCTTGATCAGCATAAATAGCCGAGTTGATCTAGCCATGTCCGTCTGTCTGTCCGTCCGTCAGTCCGTATGTATGAACGCAAGGATCTCAGAACCTATAAGAGCTAGACTTGAAATTTTAGATGTAGATGCTCCTAGTTCCCGCGCAGATAGGGTTTGTTTCCGATAATCGATAACTTACTCCGTTTCCAAGCAATCGATAAAAATCGATATCGATATCCTGTTTTTTGGACAATCTTGGTAAATACCAAACTTGGCATATAGCTTCTAAAATAGAATATATATATACATTTGATGTTGGAAGAAGAGGGTTCAGGGTATACCCTAGTCGGGAGCTCCCGACTAGAACCTCTTACTTGTTATTGCTGCTTCTAAATAAAATATATATATACATTTGATGTTGGAAGAAGAGGGTTCAGGGTATACCCTAGTCGGGAGCTCCCGACTAGAATCTCTTACTTGTTATTGCTGCTAAAGCTTCACATGGTTTTGGTAGAATAGGGTTCAGAGTATCCCCTAGTCGGGAACTCCCGACTAGAGCCTCTAGCCGGTTTTGCAGGGGTTGGCTGGCAGTTCGGTTGGTTACGTACTCGTGTCAAATTGAGGCAATCTTTTATTTTTTTAAATTTAATTTTATTACATCTAAAGGAAAAGTATTTGATGCTGGTAGAAGAGGGTTCAGGTTATCACCTAATCGGGAACTCCCGACAAAAGTCTCTAACTTGTTTTTATCTAGCTTGCTTTATAAGTATAACTCTTTATTTATTAAATAGTTAATAAATAATGTGTGAGCCCCTGGCGAGAGCTAAAATTGGCGTAGGTTGAAGAAAGCTTATAGTATCCTCTATTCGGTCACTCCCATAACACATTCTTAATTGTCCATTCTATTCATGTTGTTTTTTAATACAATTTTTTATGTTATTAAGCCCACTATTTATGAAACACCAGTTTCTTACCTTCTCAATGTATATGTTTCCTTTAGTGATATGTATGTACATATGTATATCAAATATAATTGTTTGGCGATTTGTACTGAAACTTGCAACATTTTTAGGGCAAAACTATTACATGACGCTTGGAACCTCGCTTACGCTGGCGATTTAAGTTTTGCTACTGCCTTCAACATGACACTATTTATGAAATTCGAGCGAAATCATATCATATGGAATCCGGTCTTCACATTCATTGATCAAATTGGTCGGCGTATTGATATGTCAGAGGTTCATAATAAATTTGAGGCAAGTATTCACCATTTTCTTAATAAACATTAATAATATAGTTAATTATTTCAGGAATATGTTTTAGCTCTTCTAACGCCTTTATATGAGGAATTAGGAGCTGAAATTGAAACAGAAGATAACTGGAAGAAAGACTTACGCTCATTAACTAAAAGATTTTTGTGTCGATCAGGTTTTCGTCCATGTATTAGAGAAGCTATGAATGTATACAAAGTCTGGCAAAACGCAGCCAACCCAAATTTGGAAAATCCGTCAGTATATCTGCGATTCTGTCTTCTACACAATAACATTCTTGTATTTTAGGGTACCAAATCATTATATTTGCCCTGTTTTTAAGTGGGGTTCCACTGATGAGTGGCAATTTGGACTTGAACGAGTGATCCAGTTTCCAAAAACACGAATACAGAGTGAAAGAACTTATTTATTAAAGATGCTAGCTGGTTGTTCCACCCAGTCCGAAAAGATCTACCGACTGCTAGAATTGTCGATTTTTGAAGAACATTCCAATTTCACCGAAAATGATCAATTCTTAATTTTTTCCTCACTAACCGGAAGCTCCAGCGGCTATTACACATTATTTAATTTCTTATCTGATTATTGGACGCCGATTCGGCAGAAGTAAGTCCGTGCATTTGCCCACGTTAAATTGCTTAAAATATTTATGCTTTAATGTTTGTCATCCACCTATTTTTATATGCATGCATTCTTACATTTTCTAATTTGGTTCGTTAGATTTTATAATACCACTAACCAAGCAACATATGTATGTTGTTGATGGTAAGGTCTAGAAAGCATAATTTTTCGCTTTTGTTCTTTATAAAGAAAATGTACACTATTGTTGGCGAATTAAAATATTCTAACAGAAAGAACAACAAGCAATAATCAAATCAAAAGAATCGGCATGTAAAACACAGACAAAAATAAATTCATTCCTTACTATTCCTTTTTGTATTGGGCTACAGAGTCTGATATAAACTACTGCACTAATGCAATGCCTGTGACTCTCAAAGCCACATGTTATATTTTCCACTCACTTTCAACTAACAGATCTGACAGATTTTTATCAATTTTCGTTTTTGACTAGCAAAGTATCCCATCTCAAGACAGAGTATATAAACATTTGGTTCTAAAGTCAAAGACAAATTTTATTTCTTATTAATATGTTATTGTTATCCTACTAGTTGTTGGCATGTGGGTCTCATTTTGGAGCAGGAGTACAAGTGTGCGTCTGTGAAGCAAAATACGTACATATACTTACAATATAATTAAAATGGCCACCGCTTGTTCTGCGCATGACATCACAGTGTAATGATTTAGAAAAGTGCAGTGGTTAAGCTCAAATGCTATAGCCCAAAACAAAAATCGAAATCAGAGGTTGAATTTGCTTTCATCTGCTGCTTTCATTGATTCACTTTCAAGCTGATAGGCCGATCTTTGGATATTTGAGCGCATGACCAAAGACAATATAAATACTCAGATAACTAACGCTATACAACAAAATGCTACAGTTTGATTTTCAAACAAGAGGTTCTAGTCGGGAGCTCGCGACTAGGGTATACCCTGAACCCTCATCTTCCAACACCAAATGCAAATACATGCATATACTATTCTAGAAGCTACATGTCAAGTTTGGTGACTCTAGTCCTATTATTTACCAAAATTTCCCAAAAAACAGGATTTCGATATAGATTTATATCGATTACTTGGAATCGGGGCAAGTTATCGATTATCGTAAACAAACTCGATCTGCGCAGGCACTAGGAGGACCTACATCTAATTTCTAATTCAATTCTAATTCTAATTTCAAGTCTCTAGCTCTTGCATACATGCCAACGTTCAGGTACCCTTACCATTACAACAAGCGTGAAAAATATCAATTTTGCCCATAAACAGGCCAAACCCTTTAATAATATCACACAACTGCTTACTCGAAAGGGTGTGCGTGTGCATTGGCATTGTACATTGTCAATATTTGGTCTTTTCTTAAAATTCTTCGACAAGCAGACAATGAATTACCCTGGCAGACATACGACATAGATATTTTTGTATTTTAAGCAAAATAGATCCCTTCAGTAAACAAAAAAAAATATATACATATATATTTCATTCAGGTCAATTATTTGTTTGTTTAATAAAAATAGATCAGATTCTTCTCTTTATGCCTGACTGGACAAAAAAATGCATGATAGAGTATTTGAATGTGTGTGCCTTTTGCTACCACGGGCACAAAAGGCACACAATTGAAAAACCTCTGGCTCGCGACAAACGCCGTGATGTACTTGTGCGCACATCCGCACAACACAAACATGTTTGTTGATCTCGGGGTTTTGTGAGAAGCTATGCTGGGAGAAAGAGATGGACACGAGTGCGCAAAGCAATAAGTGAGAGCGAGGCACATGCATACACACATATGTTTCAGCCGCAGCGACGTTATGCGCAGAGCGAGATGCGGCTTCATACTGAACGTTCGGCTTTCGACGCCGGCGTTCGGCTGCCACTCTCAGCAGTGTTGCTCTATCTGGGCACACTAAAATGGTCTCAAACGCCCATGAAGCTCACTCGGTGCGATGAATCTTGATACTATTAAAGTGCAGCTTAGTATATCATTGCATCGACCAGCTTTGGTAAAGGCAGGCTGACGACTGACTTCGCATCAACAAGTACATGTATGGGCGGTTCTCACCATAGTGTTTATATTGTCTGGCATCAGTACAATAAAGACAGGTCTAATAAATTGGGTGTTGTTTGCAAGTTCGGTACAACAAAAAGTATTTTGAAAAAGGGTTTTTGATCTAATCGCCGTACCAATTGGTAGTCATTAATTATGTAAAAATGTTTGAAGTAACGTTATATTTTATATTTCAGATTTAAAAATAAAACCAATTTGTGGGATCATTTAATAGGTTCAGCAACCGGGTTTTTTCTGACTCAAAAAGGCTATGACATGGTAAAGGAGCTTTATGACAAGCATTCTGGAGAATTCGGGAGTGCCCAACACATAATTGAAAAGTCTCTCCGCAACATAAGAGAAGAAGCACTGTGGAGTAAAGAGAATTTGCCAGTCATTGAAACTTGGCTTAATAACTTTTTATCCAAAAATTAAAGTATTTTAGAGCAATAATCAAATGGTAATTTATTTAGGGACGAAATTCGTTTGATACTATGTATGCTTCATTATTTCTATAAAGTTTAAAAAAGCAAAATTAAAAAACCTTTTATTATAATATTTATTTGATTGTTTTAGTACATATTTAATTTTAAAATGTGGTATTTTGTTGCGAAAATTCAGTGGAGTGTAAAATCGAAAATCATGTCAATGGAAAGTGTTTGGTAAAATCATCATTTTTTACAGAGCTTTATTTAGTAGTTAGTCATTCCGAGCATGCGTAACAATATTCTTCAGTACTCATCACCTTCGTCTACATAGGCATTTGAGTCAAGTCCCACCTCTTCATAATCCTTCTCAAGAGCGGCTAGATCCTCCCTAGCTTCAGAGAATTCTCCTTCTTCCATACCTTCTCCAACGTACCAGTGTACAAAAGCACGCTTGGCATAAATTAAATCAAACTTATGATCCAAAGAAGCCCAGGCTTCAGCTATGGCTGTGGTGTTAGATAACATGCACACCGCGCGTTGAACTTTCGCTAGATCGCCTCCTGGCACCACAGTGGGTGGTTGGACACAGTTGGACACCAGTCAACGAACTGAATTGATCGTTTTGTTTTGATTGTAGCTATTGCTGCATTAACATCTTTAGGTATCACATCACCGCGATAGAGCATGCAGCATGCTATATATTTTCCATGCCTCGGATCACACTTGACCATCTGATTTGCGGGTTCAAAGCATGCATTTGTTATTTCAGCATGAAAAGCTTTTCAACGGAAATTACTGGAGCATATGTTGCCAGGGGAAAATGAATGCGTGGATATGGAACCAAATTGGTTTGAAACTCAGTTAAATCAACAATAAACGCTCCGTCGAAGCGCAACGCTGTTATTGAGGAAACTATTTGACCAATTAAACGATTTAGGTTCATATAGATGGGACGCTCAATGTCTAAATTGCGACGGTAAATGTCATATATGGCTTCGTTGTCAACCATGAATGCGCAGTCAGAGTGTTCGAGGGTGGTGTGGGTGGTCAAAATTGAGTTGTATGGCTCGACCACCGTAGTTGAAACCTTGAAAAATAAAAAAGAACATATGTATGTAATTTTAGTTTTAGGTACGCTCGCCCAAAATCCGAAAAAAATTCTTTAAATTGGATAAAAATCTAAATATTTGCCTCTAGTCTAAGGCAACAGCTTGCTTTATACGTACTTGTGGCGCTGGATAAATTGAAAATTCTAGCTTTGATTTCTTTCCGTAATCAACTGATAGACGTTCTTTTAGCAATGAGGTAAACCCAGCGCCTATTCCTTCGCCGAATGAATGGAATACTAAAAATCCCTGAAGACCAGTGCACTGATCAGCAAGCTTACGGATATGATCTAGTACTATATCCACAATTTCCTTTCCTATTGTATGATGACCACGAGCATAGTTGTTGGCTATGTACAAGTACGAATTTCATCAACAGTTGGCTCTAAGTCAACGAAAACTGCACGTGGTACGTGCTTTCTGGCACTAGTTTCACTAAAAAAAGTATTAAAGGAGTCATCCCCGCTGACAATTGTTTTATCAGAGGGCAAATGTCCTTCAGGTTGAATTCCATGCTCTAGGCAATATAATTCCCAGCAAGCGTTACCAATCTGAACTCCAGCTTGCCCTATGTGAACTGAAATGCACTCCCTCTATAACAAAAGAAAATAAAGTTCAGAAATACATATGTATGTGTATTGTCAGTTCAGTAGACTGTGTAACATCACTATAAATAAGTGTAGGCTTATGTTATTGTGTATTTTTATTTAATGTAAGTATATAGATATGTATGTATGTATCTGCGCACGTCTCATCGATAGTATTTTTAAGCTAGCGGACGAGCGGTAACTTTGATCGCATCATAAAGACTAACAACATCAAGATAGAAGCACCAAGAATGAGCAGTTTGACTGTATAGCGTCCTTGTTCGCAGTCCGAGGCTTTTACCGCTTCAAAATGTAAAACTAAAACAAGGATAAATGCGGCTTTCCTCAACAGTCGATTGGTATGCGGGACATTAACACATTCGTATACATGTATGTAAGTTAACACATAAATACTATAGCAACTAAGCAACAACACATGAATGATGCTGACACGCCAAATTGTGAGTTCAGTGCTCTGCACTGGCAACAATCAGCAGCGATCGCATGACACTTCTTTGCTGGTGTGCTGCGACGCTGAGAATGCTGAGTCGGCATGCCGACTGTGGTCCGATGGCGCGACGCATTTGACTTTGCTAAGTAGAATTATGTTTTGCATTTGTCTTTAGCTTTAGTTCGCTTTTTAATAAAGAAGACACAAGTTGTCTATTTCGTACTCCGGCTCATAACCGTAACATTTGTTCTTATTGATCACATTATTGCACCACAAGGGCAATAATCACCAAAGGGGACGAAGTCAAGTCCTCCAACGTAATCATCATAAAAATCGTATCAGTGTTCACCTTGGATCGACTTCCTCACGGAAGCGACGCTGGACCTGGAATTCACAATCAGCAGCTTCGCGGGATCCCCACGGCTACCTGCTACTACACATAAATAACTGGCGCCCAAACGTCCTAACACCCACCAAGTTCATAGGCAATAACACAAAAACATGTAAGTTTGTCAAGTGAATTCAAATAGCAAAGAAAAAAACACACAAGAATAGAAGTTGCGAAATTTTTATTTTTTTTTTTTATTAAGTTTAGCTTTATTTTAATTTTTCTGTTATTATCTGGAACAACTTAAATTAAATTTGTATGAATATTTACAATCTACTTATTCTACTGGTAAGTCTAATATACAAATTTACAGTGTCAACTATATAAATCGATCTGGGAGATCTATTGTATATTTATTATGTCCCCGACTTTCGGCACTCCTAAGTCTTTTTCCAAGTCGGAGGTTCTCATATACCAGGGGGCACCAGACAGATATCGGAGCGTTTTTGCTTGGAGCACCCTGATTTTTGACAGACTGGTCTTTGCAGCAATGCCATATACCTGGATACCATAACGCCAGGCGGGAGCTATGCAGGATATTTAAATGGTGACTTTATTTTTCAGTGACAACGCATTTCTACTCCTCAGAAGCCATCTTAGTTTTCCTATTCTATTTTTTAGGGTTACAGAGACACTTGTGATGTTCTTGTTAAAGTTCAAGCGTCTGTCTAGGTGCACACCTAAGTATTTGTGGCTGTTGAAGTGCGTCACCAATTGGCCGCGCAAGAAAACTCCCGGACACATGTCCCTCCGTAGCGCATAGGTCACATTGGCGCATTTATTTAAATTAATTCCAATATTCCAGCGCTTGGCCCACATTTCAAATTGGTGGAGATATTGCTGCAGGACGTCGGTAGCTCCGTAGACACATTCGTTTCTTGACAAGATGGCTGTGTCATCTGCAAAAGTGGCGATTGTAAGGTCGTGGGGATCCGCGACTTCAATTGTAGAGCCACTGGGCATATCGTAGGTAAAGAGGGTGTAGAGCGTGGGCCCTAGCACACTCCCTTGAGGAACGCCAGCCCCGATGGCCTTCATGTTGGACTCAACTCCATCGAGTACTACCGAAAATGACCGGTTTGTCAAATAACTTTGCACAATTAAGTATAGTTGAGGTGGCAGTAAGGGCTTAATTTTGCAGAGTAGTCCATCATGCCAGACTCTGTCGAAGGCTTGTTTTATGTCTAAGTACGCTGCCACTACGTACTCTTTGGCTTCGAAACCCTCGAGGATAAAATTCACCACCCTATTTAGCTGTTCCGGTGTGCCATGAGATTTTCGGAACCCAAACTGAAAGGGGGGAATTTTTTTTTTAATTCTGTCAAAAGACAGCAGTCTCGTAAGCAGACAACGTTCGAATAGTTTTCCGATCGTGGGCAACAAACTAATAGGCCTGTATGAGTCTAGGGACGAGGGGCTCATTCCAGCCTTATAGATCATGCATATTCTCGCCTTTTTCCATTGGCTTGGAACATGCCCCAATCTCAATACCGCATTAAAGATTAACACTAAAAATAGGACTGCTCTGACCGGCAATGCTTTTAGTGTTATGTTGTCGATGCCATCATCGCCAGGAGCTTTTCTTGTCTTAAGTGCTGCTATGTGGTCTGATACTTCGTTGGCAGTGATAGGAGCAACTGGGAGGGCTAGCTGGCCTGGGCTCTCCAGTGTGAGTTGAACCCTTCTGCTTGCCGAACTTGTATTAAAAGGCTGAAGCGATCCTCCAAGTCTTCGGCAAATGCATCAGCCCGTTCCTTTGGGGATCTGGGCCAAGATCCATCAGGCTTTCTGATCGGAAATTTGGGGGACACTTGCTGTTTGTACCTTCTCGTCAGTCTCCATAGGGAGTGACTTGAGGATTCATCTGGAGAAACATTTTCCAAAAAACGGTCGGTTTCCCTTTGTCCATTCAGCTGCAGCAGCTTTTTGACACGGTTCGACACTCTACGGTAGATCCTGTCCACAATTGGATCTCCGGTTCGACAGTACTGCCTTATAATCCTTCTCTTAATCAGCAGTAGTGTATGGATTGCTGGCGGAAGTCTCACTTGTGGTCGTGAGCTTTCTGATCGGCTTACTGGCGCAGAAATGAGGGCTGCCGAGTGAACCTTGTTCAGGAATAGCGCATATACATCTTCGATGTCTTCTGGTGCAAGTATTAACAAGTTTAGGTCTAGAGTTTCCTCTAGATCTCGTCGATAAGCAGCAATGTTGGCTCCAGGAGGCAGCAGACGACCTTTAATTGTTTTGCCCTTTGGAATACAGTCGTAACCAACTACTAGTGGGATATGATCAGAGGATAGCTGAAACTCAGGCCTTATACTTAAGCCATCTGGGTGAAGTCCGTTATAAATAAAGAAGTCAATGGCACTCGGCGTGTAACTTTGGGCAAACGGGAAATGAGTGGCTTGCCCAGTCGCTAGTATTTCAGATGCTGAGTTTTGCACCGCGTCCAGTAAGCAGGTGCCTCTTGCGTTAGCTCTAAAGCAACCCCATTATCTGTTTTTGGCGTTAAAATCGCCTCCTATAAGGAACATTCTTCCTAGTCCGCTGAAAAGTTGCTGGAATTCCATTGCTGACCACGACAGTTGCGGCGGGAGATATGCCGAAGCAATGGTTAATTCACCCCTGCTAGTTGCAATGTGGATGCTGGCCATTTGCAATTTCTCCATCCTTACCGGTTCATTTTGGAAATATTCGATCTCCTGCTTAATAAGCACCGCCGCTCCTCCTCTTGCTCTATCGCTAGGATGATCCGCTTTGTGAATTTTGTAGCCTGGAATAAAGATGGATACACCGGTCGGAAGCCAGGTCTCTGTAATTAGCATCACGTCAATATTATGTTCAGTTAGGAAGTGCTTAAGCTCCTCCACATGCCCAGAGATACCACGGGCATTCCACAATCCGAGGCATAGTGAACTGTGCATCATTTTTTGGCGTTCAATAGACTCAGACACATTTGTTTAAGGAACTGATTCGTCTCCTGAAGTTCCTTAAACATAGCTTGTAGAGTGTCGACTTTCACAGTGAGTGCTTCTATTGCAGCCTCCAGCCTTGAACTTTTGTGGGGTGGGGTATCTTGGTGCTTGGGGGTAGGGTTCCTAATTGACGTCTCTTTATTGAACTTTTCCAGCCCAGTACGCAGAGTATCGGCGTAAGAAATATTTCCTCGCACTAAGGTTGCTGGAATCTGTTGCTGACGGTCTTTTTTTCCACTGACATTACTTTTAAATTCTAGACTTACTTTTGGTCTTCTTTCTTGCGTTCTAACTTTGAACACATTGCATCCCTTATGCCAAGCCTCATGGTTTCCACCGCAGTTGATACAGCAAAGATTCTCAACCAAGGTTTCTTTGCATTGAGCTGTTGGATGATTTTGAGCACACTTTCCACAGGTATAAGGCCTCATACAGTAGTTTTTTGTATGTCCAAATCCTTGGCATCTGTGGCACAGGATGGCATTCAAATTTTTCTTTGGTATTTCAACCAAGACTCTTTGTCGCCCTATTTGCTTGATTTTCAGCGCATCCTTATTATTAGGCTCGCGAGCCAAATCAATGAAAAAGAAATTATTTTGTATTAGTTCCTCAATAGCTTCACCGTTCTCCTGTTGTTGGGCCTTACGAGGGCGAGGATTGTGGATACGAAGGACACTGTGTCCATATCGCATAAACTCCTCTTTAATGCTATCTTCAGGGGTGGTGCTAGCCAAATTGCGGACGATAAGACTGAAGGCCTTGTCTTCCTTCAGTTGGTATGTAAAGTGATGTGCATTATTTTCTTTGAGAAACTGCACTAGGCTTCGATATGAATTCGAGTTTTCAACGTGAACTCTTACTTTTCCTTGTGTTCCAACGTGGAGGGTATAACTATCTGACCCAATGACTGCATCAAGCTCTGCCTCCATCTGGGTCACATTGTTTACATTTTCAATGAAGATGGGGGGTGGCTTCCTGGATCTGGGTACTCTGGCTTCTTTTTCCGCATTCAGCTCTACTTCCATCTCTTCTGCCAGTGCCTCGGCATGGGCTATTTCCTCCTCTGTAGGATCATCGTTTTCTGCATTATCCAGTATTGCAAATTGGTTTTTTGAGTTTATTGGGATCTCCTTTAGACGTCTGTCCATCGATATCTGAGATGCAATTAACCTCCCTTTTTTACCATTTGCTTTTGGAAAGCTTGAAGGCAGCTTACGTTTTATTTTGGTCGTCATCCAGCTGAGTGATTTCACTGATGACATTCCTAGTTCATTGATATTATTTTCTGATGCGCCTGCAACTACACTTTTGTAGTTAATATTTGGGATGGTGCACACTCCTCCACTTGAAGTTGTGACAGTGTAGGTAGACGCGTAGTCAATGTGCATGTCGTTGCTGCAAAATTGCTACTACTGCACTTAATTGCAGTATTTGAAGCACTTACAGTATTTAAGGAAATCATTTCACGAATTTCCGCAGGTGTAGCGCCAGCAATTCTCATCATTTTAGCGAATTCTGGTCGCAGCTCTCTTGGTTGAGAGGGCGTGGATGCACTAACATCCATGCCCAATGTTGTTTGGCTCAATGTTGTTTTTTTCTTATTAATTTTTCACGAAAATAATAAATTTAATGGAACACAATTTTTATTTTTTTTTGATGAAAATTTACCTCTGCGTTTGACAAGCAGTGTTGTAAAAGTGAAGTTGCGAAAAGAAATACACATTTTGCCAAAAAAAAACAATTGCATACTTTTACCAAAAATAAAAAATAAAAACCATTGCATACTTTAACTAAAAATAAAAACCATTGCATACCCTCACTAAGAATAAAACCATTCCTTACCTTTAATGCAGGTTTTATTATAAATAAACAACTGCTACAAAAACAATTATATGCCCAATGCGAAAAAGTTTTCATACAAGTATCGTGGTTAACAAATGAGCTGGACCACCTATAGGGAAATAAAGACCGAGTACAACAGTGACGATAGTATAGGCGAAGAACAAGTTGGTTGGTGCCCAGAATATCAGGTAGCTAACACAATGGACCCTTCACATACTCAAGCTCTCATTGACAATGCCGTTAGATCGGCACTGTCGCAACAACAGTCCCAGATA